CAATCCTTGGTGCCCCTTAAAATGCTGTAAGAAAATAGGGGCTTTTTTTTTTTTTCTTTAAGGAGTGTACGAGTCTGAATACTGTCAGAAGACAATGGCCATGAGTTTTTTGAATTGAGTTACTTTTTGTTTTTTTACATCTGTCTCTGGGTATAATATCAGTGCAGCTCCAAATGTGTCCCTGTTAGTGAAAACATTATAGGCTTTCACTAACGGCTCCCTCGGCCTGGGATTTCATGAGTGTTGCTGCCTGCAGGGCTGTAGCACTGGGGGCTGGGGGCAGGGTGGTTCCCTGGCCACCCACCGAACTGAAGGGGCAGGGCCCCTCCCCGAGCCATCTTCCCCCCGGGCCTTATCAGCTGTCCTGGAGCTGGTTTCAGCTCACAGTCAAAGGTCTTTGTTGTTGGTTTTTTTTTTCACAAATGTGCCTGGCAGCCACCGTGCCACTGGTCCCCGGCTTTTCTGCAGGCCCCTGACTTCTGCCCATCGCTGTCGCGTGAGCCCCTGACTCGCGAATGCGTTAGACTCCTTGGTCCATGTTACACTCCTTGGTCCGTGTTTCAAGATGGGTCGGGTGGGTGGCCAATATCGCCGCCGACCCCGTATGCTCCGCTCTGCCCCGCCTGCGTGCGAGCTCCCCTTTCCTTTTGCAAGTTGAGGGGAGGGAGGCATCTCTGGGAGGAAAGTGCCCTTAAGGGCAGTCATTGTGGGATAGAACTCTAGTGGGGGTTCCACCCTGAAGTGTCTCTCCCGCTCTCTTGCCAGCTTTTTAACCCTTTCCCAAGTATTCCAGAATACAGTAGCTGTGGGGGCCCATGGGGCCAAGAGAGTCACAGTCTCCCAGACCTTGTTGGCTACAGAGTCTGAAATGTCTAGCCCTCGGCTCTTAAGCATATAATGCAATGCCTTCAGGGCCGACTCATGCTTCTTAGAAGTTGCATTACCCATACTAAGGGTCTCACTCGCCCCAAAAGACCGATTGGCCTCAGCCGGTATCTCTTTTGTTTTCCTCACAGGGGGCACCAGTTGCGGGGGTCCTTCCCCTCATACAGCACAATGGGGGCCAAGGAGCAGAGTGTGCTGCCATCTTAACCCTCTCTTCCTGAGGCACCACCAAGGAGGCAGGGAGTCTTGTCTAGCAGAAGCTCATTTATTATTAAGGCTGAACAATATTTAAAGGCAAAAACCACAAGCATAGCATAGGTGAGGAGGCCGGCATCCAATCAGCTCAGAGGTCATGTATTAGCACGCAGGCCCTTCTCATAGCATAACTCAGTGTTCACGAGGTGATCATGCGTCCTTCACTGGCTGAGCTACAATCAGTATTACTTCTCCTTGTTGTGTGCCAAGCTGGCTAGCTGTCTCCGCCTTCACCTAAGCTGCTCAGCACCTTCTTCTTACCATACCTCCACAATCCGCCTGATATTTGACAAAGTGCCAAGAACACACAATTGTGGAAAGACAGAATCTTCAACAGATGGTGCTTGCAAAACTGGATCTCCATGTGTAGAGGAATGAAACTAGATCCTTATCTTTCACCTTGCACAAAAGTCAACTCCAAATGGAACTAAGACCTCAATGTGAAACTGGAAACCCTGAAACTATTAGAAGAAAATATTGGCAGTAACTTACAAGATACAGGTGTAGGAAAGGATTTTCTAAATCAGACAGAAGTTGCTCAGGAATTAAGGTCAGCAATCAACAAACAAGCAGACCTCATTAAACTAAAAAGCTTCTGTACAGTAAAAGAAACACTCAAAACAGTGAAGAGAAGACCCACAGAATGGGAAAATATCTTCACCAGTGACACATCTGACAGAGGTTTAACATACAGGATACATAAAGAACTCAAAAAACAAAGAATTGGGAAACCAAATGACCCAATTAAAAGATGGGCTAAAGATCTAAACAGAGTTCTCAAAGGA